TACCAAAAGGAACTCTGGGTCATGAATAAAAATAAAAAAAGCACAATGCAGCTATTTTTTAAAAAAAACATTAAAACATAACAGTGTTCAGGCCCCAATGAAACTCACATCCATTGCCAGTTCCATTAACATCTTGTATACCGTGGTCTGCCCACTACTGCATTCTGGACCAGCTGAAGCTTCCATATGCTGTTTAAGGGTAGCCCCATGTGTAGCATGTTGCAATAGTCAAATCAGAAGATGATTGTGAGCAATGCCTCCAAATCTAGGAAAGGGTACAACTGACACACAAGATGTATTTGTGCAAAAGTTCTTCTGGCCATGGCTGCCTTTTGAGCAGGAACTATGAGTCCAGGAGGACCCCCTGATTGGGCATCAATTATGAATGTTACACTAGGCAGAATTAAATAACAACAGCAGCAGCAGCAGCAGCAGCAACATCTGCCTATCCCAGGTCCTTGGAAAGGACTTGATAGGTGGACAAAAATGCCAAATCCAGTCTAAACATCTGGATGACTGTGCAATCAACCATAATAATAATGGCAATTCACTAGATTCAGGTGGGTAGGTGGGTGGGTGGCATGAAACCCAAAGCCACACAGTCTTGTCAGCGTTGAGTAAAAGTTGATTCTTCCCTATCTAGACATGTACAGTCTAGATAAATTTTGAAGCCCTTTGCAGATCTGTCCAATTAGTTTAAAACTGACCATGATGCAGAAAGTTGGAAGAAATAAATAAATGGTTTGCATTTGTATTTTACTATCTTCCAAAAAAAAAAAAAAAAAAGGTTGCAGGTAGGTTTCAGGATTCTGTATATGTAAACAAAAAATGCAGAGAATCTACTGGTAGAGCACAGAATTCTGCTTCAGGATACTCAGTTTATATCTGAAAAACCTGGAATATACACTGATCTGTTTTATGCTTATCTCACCAAATGAGAGAAAAATATAACTATGTATGTTTATTTTTCATGTGGTGAGAGACAGAATGTTTATTATACTTTATAACAAATACTTAATAAGAAAGGCAGATTTTAATGGTATATTTTCATATCATGATCTTGGCTCATGTTCATAAGTAGGCACCACATGAAGAAAACAAAGAAAACATATAAAAGATACATAAAGAGTTGTTCCCCTATTAGTTTGAAATAAATGCTGAAATATGTCTGAGAATCCTCTGGCAGAAGGTAGCCATACTAAAGACAAAATACATACATAAGATAACATATGGTAATAACTTTGTCAATTAATTTATTATTTATCAACAAACAGTAAAAAATATATTGGTAAGTATACCCTTACCAGGTTTTCCCAATGTAACTGTAAATCACTGTATGAATGAAATGGAGAATCAGGTGGAATTAAATGACTGATACTCATAATCTGACCCATTTTCATGCTGTGCAAAGGTATAAAAAGAATATTAGAAAATTAGTACTATGTGGTAGAAACTGTAATTATAAACATCTATAATTAGACGTGTTAAACTAGGTTTGAAATACATGCACTTCTATTATCCTAAAATAAGGTAAATAGACATTGAATTTGCCACATTGGATTTATTTTTATAATGAAGCAAACCTATTGTTCTATATCTTATCTAGTGCAATATTGTCATAAAGAGGAAAAGTAGACACAGAATAAAAAATATATCTAGAAAGCTGTAAAGTTTAAAATAATATTAGAGAAAAACATATAACACTGAATTTGTTTAGTTTATTATTATGAATATGAAAAGAATAGACATAAAACATTGGATTTATTTTTATAATGAAGCAAACCTATTGTTCTATATCTTATCTAGTGACATTGGATTTATTTTTATAATGAAGCAAACCTATTGTTCTATATCTTATCTAGTGCAATATTGTCATAAAGAGGAAAAGTAGACACAGAATAAAAAATATATCTAGAAAGCTGTAAAGTTTAAAATAATATTAGAGAAAAACATATAACACTGAATTTGTTTAGTTTATTATTATGAATATGAAAAGAATAGACATAAACCTGGATTTAACAATCTATATATATTTCAAAGCCTAATGCAGAAGTTAAAAAGGGACACAAGCTTCTATGAACAGCTGGGCATCTTAATCTGTGATAACCAGCAGGTGATGTAAGGGATTGTGCAAAACATTACCATACTACTGCAAATGTTCAGGCTGATAATAGTTATGACTGAGACTCTCTGCCTGGAAAATTCCATAAAAGAGGAATGATCTATGTTATTCAAATATCTCTATAAAGAGACAGTATAAAAGAGCAAGTCACTGTTCCCACTTCACCAATCCACTAAAGCAGAAATGTGGCTCAAGTGATATACTCTAATGTCTGGTCCTCATTAGTATTACACATAGAACTAATGAGAAAGCCTACAGTAATGTGATATTGGAAATGTAGTTAGTAGAGGCAAGGCTGTTAAAAACCAAACCTGCACACAGATGACTGGAAACCTTTTGCAATTCCCAAATATGTTGCTTGACTGTTCTTTTGGCATTTTTAACATCCAAAGAAAGAAACCGTACAATTGGAATATTTTTTTCTATAGGGTACTCTTCCTCATAGATGTGAACTTGTCATTTAGAATTAAGTGTAAAGAATTAAAGATAACACTGAAGTTTCACAAATACCTTTTCAAATTAAAAAAAAAGATATTTGCTTTGTTACACTGCTACTCAAAATAGTTTGTTTTTGAATTTGTATTAACAAATTCAGTGTAAATATTAATTAAACTCTAAGGATGGAAAACTTTTCTTGGAGGCTCCTATCACTCATAATATCTCTACTGTACTAGTATATACTGCTGGAGAAGTTTCATTCATCTTAATACAATTTCTTGTAACACATAAAAAACATACCTTGGCAAAACATAACACCAATTACTTAAAATAGAACATTTTGAAATGACTGCCTTAATATCACCGTCAAAGCTCTTTATGATGTTTGTTGAAATATCAAAATCTTCTAGCTAAAATTAAAAAAAAAATCTATACAGCAATTTTTGAAATATAAGTATAAAACAGAAAGTAATGTGCATTAAAATAATCAATATTGCATAAAAGCTTTCATTAAAAGCTTTAGTTATTAAAATACATGCAAAATCAGTCATTTTAATAACTAAATAACTTCATAAAGCATTTTATAAAGATTTCTCAAAACCATGCTTTGAAATTAAGGGATCCCTAATTGTTTAATATAGGGGACGCGGTGGCGCAGCGGCTTAATGACGCTGAAAGTTGCCGGCCAGAAATGGTCGGCCAGAAATGGTCGG